CATTGACATAACAAACAATTGCATCACCCAAGTAGTAATAACACCAAGGCCATGCATAAATGAAACTTTTAATAATGTGTGTCTACCCAGATCTCTGGTGTTCACAAGAATAAATAAATAAATAGGGAGGATCAAAAAAATATATTTTCCCTTCCCATTGTATGGTTTCTTATGAATAATAAATCTGATGATAATAATATGGGTATCAGATTTAATTAAAATTTCCTATCACAACATGTGGTTGGGTGCTTTCACACTCCTCATAACTTTGGATTTTTTTTTCCATAGGTGAGGGATTCCCTACTTGTTGGAAGGCTTTGGACAAAACTTTTCTTATCTTCCCCTCAGACCAGGCAGGCTGTTTTCATATGAGCATTGATTGTTGACAAGAGTTGGCACCTGCGTGATGTACACCTCTAGAATAAAGTTGGTATCTGCAACTCGGGAGGTTGCAACCTGGGTTGTTGTTTTGAATTTTCCCTGAATTCCGAGTTTTGAATCCTGGGTTGCTATCTTGTTGATGGCACATCTACTCACCAATAACCCTACCCCCATTTAAAAATATCAAATTCAGTTGGTCAAACAAAAATTAAAGAAACAGAACATTTATGAAAATGATTAATTTATGCATAACATACCAAACAAAACCTGAACCATTTTATTTTACAGCTTTCTCCTTGATGCCAATAATCATGGTGACTATCATAACTGCCGCCTTTATACTTGTGAGATACACGTTCTCATTGAGCTACACTCCTTTTAACCTAGGGTGGGTTATATGAGCAAAAGCCTCCCATTTAAATAACAAATTAGTTGGTCAAATAAAAATTAAAGAAACAGAACATTTATGGGAATGATTATTTTATACAAAACATACCAACAAAAACTGATCCATTTTATTTTACTAACATCAGAGCCCAAATGCAATTTCAGGGTCACCAACTTACTTTGAATTGCAACCTCTTGTGCTTGAAACGAGTTGCAGATTCTTGTTGCTTTGATGGATCTGGATGTTTATGCACACCTAATATCACAACTCTTCTGGTCATAGAGCCATCCTTAGAGGTAGGATCGTTGCAAGCAACTTGTCAGCTTCTTCTGGTCTGGTGCTGTGAAGGAAGATTAATGAAAAGTGTCATTGATGGCTGATGCAGCTTCGGTAAACTCCAGGGCCATGCGCCAACCCCCTAGAATTCTGTTGCATCATTGTATCATCGGACGAAGCTGGTCATATTAGCCTTATGTACACAAGAGGAACATGCAAGAATGATTGTAAAGTGTTCAGGATAGCGTGCGTGCCTTCAACGTCTGTAAATTTCCAATAATCAAACGTTCAGTATCGAAATGTTTCATATTTGAAATGTTTCTTTTTCAACGGTGTGCTGCCTTGACATCTTGTGATTATATATTATAATAATATTGATTACGACAAGCCAAATACCAAACATTTGTTTACCATCTTGATGAGAATCTTATAATTACCCAGCAAGATCTGTTCCGCATTTTGATTTCAATAATATTCATTTATATAAAATAAAATACATACAAATTAAAAAAAAGGGACCTCTGGATAGTTATTAACACGTTTCTTTTTAGAGCCCAATCATGCCAAATAACATCACTCGCGTCTTGTCATCTGTCAAAAAATAAATTGTTTTTCAAAAAAAAATAAAAAAATAGGGGATTCCATTAGTGTACGTGCTGTCGATCAAATAACAAATCTCTTTTTTAAAAATTTTTAAAAATGCCACCACCAAAAAAGAACATTAAAGAGAAGAAATTTCCAGGCAAGTGTTGTTTATTGTAAGAATGGTGGTGGTGGTTATCACCACCATTTGTCATCACTCTAGTTTTTTTGAAGAATTGGCATCATGGCACAAAAAGTTCGGCAACTAAGTGACTTGCACTATATACATGGTTTTTTTTTCAAAATGCCATTAAAAAGTCAAAAAAATAAATGAAAAAAATAAATTGGAGTAATTAAAACAAGATATCCTGAAGGACAAAAAAGTTCCAATGAACAGAAAAAAAGAACAGTCAATGATGAACCAACGGAAGAGTCTGTTCTCTTTGACGAATCGAATGAGGGTGTTTTAATTAGTTCTATTGATGAATCAGGTTTGAAAGGAGAGACAACATTACCAGCTTCAAAGAAGATCATTGATGTAAGTTTTTGTTTGATATAGTCAAGTCAAAACTTGAGAATTATATTCTTAGCATGCTGATATAATTATATTTGATATACTCAAAAGCAAGAATTTTTGCAAAGAATTCAAGAACTATCAAGAAAAAATTCCCAAGATATGTCAAATTATAACATAATAAAATTACTTGTTTTTAAGTTTGCTTGCAATTTAATAGGTTGAGTTACTGGTGCATCTTTGACCTAATGCAGGAAAGTCTCTATGGGTGTAAGGAGTTCTCCCAAAGTGAAATCTTTGAAATCTTTCAAGATTTTCATCAGGAAATTTTCCCCACCATAATATTATTACATTCATAAATTTTAATTTGCATAAAAAATTATGTAGTATTTACACTCAATGTAATATTTGCATAATATTATGAGGCCCACATAAATAGTGTAATAATTATGTAAATCTGCGTCAGAAAAAATTTCCTCTGATGCTATGAGAGGCATACTCACAAGGACTTCCAATAATTTTGAAGCCTTATATGGAAAAGTGGCATATGGACTATGTCCACTTGGTATGTCACTTGCTTCACAGAAAAAGATAAAGTCAAACTTGCTGTGTTATACTTTCAAAAAGTGGAAATATTTACATGACAATCAGAGAAATAAGCTGATTGTATATGGTTGACTACTTGTAGGTGGGTTCATTCTGACAGATATTTTATGTGTATGACAATTAACCTGCAACTTCAAGTTTGATGATTTTACTTCACTATTTTCACTTTTATTAAACTCCAAAAAATTAATACATCGTCAGTTTGCAGATTATTAATCCATGAATAATAACTACTCCCTGATACCTTAATCCATTTGATTCCCTGGTTAATCCCAGGTTAATCTGGGCGAAAACAGAATTTTGTCCATGATGGCATTCCGTATTAACTAGCAGCAAAAATGTGGATGGTATTGGTATGTGATGTAGGAAATTAAATTTTGGAGATTTGGAAAAGAGACGTGGATTATAAAATCTATTTCAAAGCAAAAGCAGCTTAATTCTCCACCAAACTGCTCTATGAAGGAAAGGTCCGTTCAGCAATTTAGCTTGATGAATTAACTTTACACTTGCTGTACTATGAATAGATAATGCTATTGATATGTGATAAACCAATTCTATAGTGCTTTCCATTGGGAGGATAGATTCATTGTATATTTTGCATACACACTAATAATACTTTGCGATTAATTATTTTATGAATTAAAAAAATTTTATTATTTCATTCAACATCCTAAAGTGTCAAGTGACCCATCGAATAATGAATGTGTAGTTCGATCATTCTTTAAACAATGCCAAATGCTTAATTTGACAACAAATCAATTCATATTTATTTGTAATATCTTCACGAAAGAAAAACGGAATCATTTGGAATTAAATATTGGACAATCATTAAATTCATCCTCTGATTCATCATTATTATAAAATAGTCGAAGCATACTTTTGATTTTTAAATAAAAATATATTTTTCAGCCTTTAAATGAACGAACGAAATGGCAGCAATGTTAGTTAATAAATGAGGATGCTCCAAGAAGAAAGCAAGCATCGAATCGAACTTGGATACCTTTACAATGTGATGCCGATTTTTGTGATGTTCGTGCTTGAAAACTTTTTAAATTTTGAAATAATTAATGCAATAGGGCCTGAAAATTTAAAAAATCAATAAACTCTCGGAGAACGTTAAAGATTTATGGAATGGACTTGAACACATTATATGATAAGGAAAAGGTTCAGACTTTTCATTTAACAAAATGGTAACTGAAATCCATCAGTTACGTGGAGAAAAGAAAAGAGTTGTTTCTGCCATAAAAAACCTATACAAAGAACAATCAATCCTAGAGAGAAATAACCAAAGCAATTCAAGAATGGGTTAATAAGGAAAGAAAAAAGAGATAGAGAATGATGGTAAATGATGAGGAAAAAGAAAACGAAGAAGATGATGGTGATAAAAATTTAGAGACTTTTACTAGATAAAAATATTGTTTTTTTGACACAATAATAAAGTGACTAATTTCAACAGTAATATCCTATTAATTTAATACTTAGTAGGCTATCCATTACTTGCAGTTCGTGCCAATTATGTTTCTAATTAATCCGTTTCTTTTCAAATTTATGTTTTCTTCGAAAATGAGTCCAATTGTTCAAGAGCAGCTTCCCATCTCAATGGTTTACAATAACAATTATCCAAAACAAATATAGAAATCATTTTGATTATACATAATGGCTAAATGGGTTCATTTCGATTTCGATCGATTGAAATTTTCAAAATTCGAAAAAAAAAATATTACTTTTAAGTTATGCCAAGCAAACTTAGGAGTGCTGGGAGATATCTCGACATTGTTTAGGCACGTTTTAATAAAGATATCCTGGCAAGTGTGATTCCGCCTGTATATATTGTAATGATAATGGAACAAAAGGAAGTTCGCAATTGATCTAAGAACACTTAGTAAATAAATGTCTATTGAAGTAAAACAATTTATCTTGCATAAATATCAGAAATGGTTTCTTTTTTTTGGTTGGAAAGGGCTCTTTGACAACTTCTACAGTCAACCCCCATAAATGCATACCCTCTCTAAATGCACGGCCTTTTTTCATTCCCAACTATATAAAGCCACCCTCCCTAAATGTACGCCCGTGACTTTCACGTGATATGTGCAATGAAAATCATGCAACTTTATTTTGTTATAATGAATTTATTATCAAAAAACATCAGAGATTATAAATAAAACTTGAATTTTTGTTTATTAAATCAAATTCTTTTTCTAATAACATTACCTATTGTATCTAACATTTATTTTTTGCATTCACACTTCTCTCATTAAAATATTTTGTTCTTTTATTGTTTTTAAATAAAATGCCTCCAAAGTAACTTTATCTGTTCCTCAAAAGCTTGGTTAATTCTCTTGAAAAAATTTATTAATTTAAAAAAAAACAAATACAATGAAACAAAATAAAAAAATTAAAAATTGAGTTGTATCACATGAGTCACGTGCAGCTAATAATTTCTTAAATACACGCTCTCACTCATTCCCAGAGGAGAGGGTTGACTGTAATTCTTCAAATGTTCTTGGAACAAGGAGTTTGTCTAATAATAATTTTTATTAAATGATTTTCGCCATCATAATCATGGATAAAGAATCTTATGGAAGTGAACATCATTACCTATGTAGAAGACATCAACTCTTGATTATATTTATAATACATATAAGATATTTTATAAATAAAATTAAGTATTAATATCTCTGGCTATTATTAAATAACATCTTCTACCAATAATTACTTTTAATAAATTAACCCATGTTTATTAGAAGATGGGATTGTGTTACACATTGAAAATTATCCAATCCAAATTAGAATAAAAAATCTAATGGATAGGAAATATGCGAGCAAGTTTATTAGAGAACGAGAGTAAGAGAACAAAGTCCTATTTATAATGATGTTAGAAACCATTTAAATATCAAAATCATTATTTATTTATTTATAGCCTCATCATTAAAAGTATATTAATATTGTAATTCATTTTTGTCGTAAATTATTACACGAAGACATGATGCAATGCCAATACTAATACAAACTTTGTTTCTTTATTTGCTTAATGAATTTGAATTCAACAACTGAACCTTTTTAAAGATACAAGGGAACATTTATATAATAATTCGAGCATAAAATCTGCCAACTATGCTATGAGTTTCTTCATAAAACAAAAAATGTACATGATCCAAAAGTTTTACAAAGACTAATAAAAGAAAGGCGTAACCATATTTTAAGAGACCGGGTAAAAGAAAAAGCAAAGTTTCTGGTAGCAATTTACTTCTTAGATTATTGAAGACCATTCAACATCTACCTATCGATTTGGAAGTATAATTGAGTTGTGGGTTGGATATAGTGGTTAATAATAAACTGGTAAAAAATCTAATATACCTGGTGTTGGTGAAATAGCATATAATTTATTGAACAAATGTAAAGAAATGGCCGAGCCTACTATCAGAAAAAGCGTCTAATCATCATCATACATATCTAATAATAAAACTACTGGAACAACATCATCTCATCGTAATCAGCATATTAACCAAGAAGACAACTCTTATGGTGCAAATGGTAATCATGGTCATCATTGCAATAACATAATTCACGTTCACATGGTCCTTCAACAAATAATAGTGGGGGTAACAATAGATATTCGTCAATTGAAATAGAATGAAATAAGCCAAGTGCGAAATGACGGATAAATTAATTGAAGATTATGTAAAAATTTATAAAAATAATACAGAATATAAATTGTTAAAACAATCGTAAATATGCAAAAATGGTTCATTGATTTGATAAGATTGATTTATACTATATAATCTAGTAATGTTATTTGGAATAGCAAGCCATGACAGGAAGAATCCCGCTTACGAAAGTAACATGGTATTTTAATCGTCAAAGCCAATTATGGACTTTTTTTTTTTTGATATTAAAAAAAAATGAATTAGAAGCATCCATAAGTTTTTAGATAAAATCATAAAATAAAAGATCCAAGGAATATAATTTATCTTAAGCGAAAACCCTAAATTTAGATTCGAATTTTTTACCTCTCGAAAAAATATGACTGAAAATTAGGTAAATCCTAGAGATTCTGTAGAATATTTAAAAAGCAATTCCAACAATCCTTTTAATAATATCAAATATAATAATGTGATAAAGTAATTTTACTTTTTAGGATATCAAATGACGTTAAAACCGTTAGGTTATAGAGATACATGTCTTTTTTATCCATTCCAAGATATGGTAACCCAATAACGAATTTAAAGAATTTAGAAACTTTTTCCAACAAAATAAATAACGAAAGAAACAACGAATTGATTTGATTTGCCTATCCATTTTTTTAATAATATAAAGCTGACAATAATATAAAATTTAAAATATAAACTTTATAATTTTATATTACAATTATGACTATGGGACAAGGGTTATTTTATTATTATTATTATTGCAATCAATTCAATTTCTTATCATCAAGATAATATAAAAGAGCAGCAACTAAATAGTGTAATTATTATTATTATTATTATTATTATTATTATTATTATTATTATTATTATTATTATTATTATTATTATTATTATT